TTTTGTTGATAAAAAAAATAGATGGGGATTTTTGGAAGCCTCGTGCGATCAGGTAGATGGGGAAATTTTATATTTTCTTAATAATAAATAAATTATTAAGATGATGTGTCAATTTTTGCTTAGTTGTCGTTGACGTGGTTGATGATTTGACGCCTCGTCAGCCAACTGTCAAATAAGTTGACGGAGTTATTAACGTCGGCATAGTTTCTAACGGAAATGGCTATATCTGGCACGCAAGATCTTTCAAAAGTGGCTATTAGTGGTATTTCGCCAAATGTGGCTATAAGTGGCACAAATGTGAAAGTTTTGGCTATGCAAGTGTATTTTGCCTATAATTTATAATGACCGTTAGATTAGATCTACGGTAGAGAATCATACAAGTATTCATTCCATAACCTAACTCCTTCAATTTAAAACTAGATCGATTAAGCTTCAACTTCAATTTTTTTTACAAAAACTTTTGTATATAATTAATAAATTGTTCTACAAATACGATATATCCAGCTCCAAAATCTAAATAACTATCACAATCAAATCATTCAACACTAATTACAAGACTCAATCATAGATAATGGGGATGATGGTCAAGGTAAAATCAAGCCGCAAAGTTTTACTATTTTGAATTTTGGGTGGCATGAAACTCAAATTTGTCAGAAGTGTATATTACATGATTTCTATTATAATGCGTTTTTAGACTCGCACAAACCAGACTTATTGTATAACCCGAATAGTAATGAAAGTATACAAGTTCACTAACCAAAATAATATGTAAACACATGGTGTTTAAACATGGCAAATTGACTATGTCACAACCACATAATGTGTTGATAACATATTGTTCTGACGAAAGAGATATATCTAGTGAGTAGTATGGAAGGTTTATTGTCCAAATGCATGGTATGCACATGTAGATAGCTTTTTCATATAATATAGTCACGGTATAGCCATTGACTTCTATACAAATATTGTCGTCGTCTTCATTTATTTTGCTTTACTTCCTTAATTATTTTTGTTATTATCATCGATTCTTTTCTAACAACTCTAAGAAGTCATGAGTTCCCTACTTCTATTTTTTTGGTTAGTTTTATGTTTAATTTTTATAACATATGTATACAAAACGTGTACGTTTAAAGTATCAAAAAACCTGTACAACATTGATGGTTAAAATGGGCTATTGTCATCGCAAGGTTTCCTGTTCGATTCTCCGTATTCTCTTATTTCCATTACCCACATCCATGTAACCATGTTTCAGCTACGCTTGTGGAACGACATCGTCCTGGGGGCAGTCTCGCTTTAGCAGCAAGAACAAATGACGACGTTTGTCATGTCTCGTCGTCTTCCCTGGGCAGTAATTGGAGATAACCATGGTTTTGATGGCTGTTGGGTTTTGATGATGATGGTGAGATAAATGGTTAGCTATGGGGTAGTTTGGATGAACAGATGATGGCCTTTTGGATAGTCAAATTGGGGGGGGGGGGGATGTTGATGATATAGTAATTTGAACCAAATTAACCTATTTTTTTTCATAACTTTTCATTAGGCAACTGGTCCCGTTTATAAGTAATTGAGAAATGTTTCGATAAGTATAGAAAGATACAAGCAACAATTCATTAAGAAGGGCAGACCCCATACAAAAAAGCATTGTGTTCACACACTTAGTACACTTGCATAACAAGAGAAATAACATTAAGGCGGACACTAAGCAACTTTAGTAGATTCTATTGACATTGCTGAAATGGTATTCAGTTTCCGGGAGGAAAAAATAATGTTACCAATAACAGCTCAAAATAACTCGACACATTTTTCCAAGGACCCAATGCGACCATAAACTCATAAGAGTTTCCACCAAGTAAGTTGACAAGGATAACGAAATCGGCATTGCCCATATCTTTATCACTTACTACATCTGAAACGATTTTGCGCAAGTTTGTCGATGGGAAAACAACCTCAAGATCCAAATAATCATCCTCGATAGTTAGGTGGATCAAATGAACTCTACATTCAGCACACCATGATGTCTTCACCTCGCTGACACGTCCAGAGGTGAGGTAAGAAGTGCCCTGGTGTTTAAAACAAGAAAAGGAATTTAAAAAAAATTAACAAGAATTAACAAACACAATAACTGCAAACGAGATCGAGAAGGATGAATGACAAAAACATGTATTTCAATAACCACATCGTCACCATTCTCTTGCAACAATGTAAGATCGATTGAATCCGACAAAATAGACATAGATAATGCTTCCTCATACTTCAACTTTGCAACGAAACCAGGCTAAACCATAAAGTCGCTATAAATAAAACCGTTAGTAATGGCTGACAATAGGAAAAGGAAGCGGAGTAGACTGTCGTAACGATTAGTTGGTAAACAATACTTACGGGTACCATTGCGATATATCATCCATTGTCAGAAAATTACAGCACGGAAACCCTACTCAAATTTTGTTCTTGCACGTACTTTGGATATTCAATTGGAGTATAAGAACACATTATGATCAACTATTCTAATAGAACGTACCAAATAGTTAACAATCAATTAAAGAAAAGTACCTGCGGCGGTGGAAACGTGGCCGGCGACACCGCGTGGTTAGTCGAGCAGATCGGGAACGAATAAGCTAGAGCGAATCAGCGGCGGAGGTGGCAAGCGACGATGGTGGCCCGCTCTTCTTCCCACAACCGACGTGGTTAGTCCTGACGACTTTCCTCCGCTCTTCTTCCCACAAACGCTAGAGCGAATCAGCGGCGGAGGTGGCAGGAGACGATGGTGGCCCGCTCTTCTTCCCACAACCGACGTGGTTAGTCCCGGCGACTTTCCTCCGCTCTTCTTCCCACAACCACTACAGCGAATCAACGGCGGAGGTGGCAGGCGACGATGGTGGCCCGGAGGAGGAGACCGCTACTGAGCGACCAACGGTTGCTTCACCGGCGGAGGCGGAGACGTGCAAGCAACGGAGGCGGAGACATGCAACGGAGGTGTGGGAGGAGGAGGGCGGTTGAGTATGTGTCTGAAGGAAAACAGAGAAGGCAGCGCATGGGGAGGGGAGAAAAAGCAGAAGATGAATCGTTTGCTAGATTTGGTAGGTAAGTAGTTTTCCAATTTTCAACTTTGCCATTATTGTTCTTTTTTTTTTTTTTGACAATTCATTATTGTTAAAGAGACAAAGGGAGACAGCTGCCGATCTGCTCGACTAAGCCCTATTGGGCCTGGTAGGGGTGAACAAACACACCCGTGAACCGACCCACTCGTTCAATTCAACCCAACCCACGCGTATTTATCCCTAAAATTAAGGTTTTGGGTTGGGTGAGGGTTTTTTTTTTGTACAACCCGCCTTTTTTGGATTGGGTTTGGATTTTGGATTACGCAACCCGCAGAACCCGACCCAACCCGTGTTCCAACTATTGGTATGAGTTCGTATTCAAAAAATATTTATGTCGCATATAGCCATACTTATGAGAAAATTATGATATTTTGTCATATTTTACTCTCATGGTCAGTGGCATAGCCAGGATTTCGTCTAAGGTGGGTCCACTTAGAAGAAAAGTACACATGATAAAATAGCTTTTGTTAACTCTGCTAATCATTCATGATATAATTTTATATTGAAAATTTTTGGTAAATTAAAATACGTTAGTAGTGGAAACTATCATATTTATCACCCTGTGTACCAAATAATTATTAATGATTTAGTTAGCCGTTCTCTTCGAATACCGTTCTTTGTAAAGAACAATTTAGTATCAACAACTTGAGTTTTTGAGAGAAGTAAAATAATGAATCTTACACAAAATAATAATTCATGATTTAATTAGTCATTCATTTTCAAATGATGTTCTTTGTTAACAATCGTTTAACATCAACAAATCGAGTTGTTGGAAGTTTCACAAATCGAAATACCATGTGCTTAAGAAATAATGTCGCAAGGACTCAAACACAACACATTTCGATAAACTATTCTCAATAAGACGCCCCCTAATTTTTTGTATCGACTAACTATTGTACTTAATTTAACCATATTCCATCCGAACGGGACCCACCCTCTTATACTCTCCCTCCGCCACTGCTCATGGTCTCTCTAGTCTAATGCATTATTCGGCTTAAAGTTTAAACATAAATTTAATATTGCTAGGATTCACATAATTCTTTTTTCTTGTGTATAATTTTAATAGAATAACATATTATGGATGCGTTCGTTTACAACCTTTTTAGCCTATTTAAACAAATGTCGTGAAAAAACTAGACATATGTTGAAATAAATCACATTTTATTAAAATTAAAACAACATTTGTGAATTTTGATACCTTTCACCTCGGTTTATTCAATTTAAATTTTAATTAGTTATAAAATAATTTTATGGTGTAGAACAATTACATATTTTGTGTTGGGTTGAGTTTTTACTTAAAAATATCGTCAACCCGACCCAACCCAATTAGAAACAAACGTAGGGTTTTAATTTTTTTGGGTGGGTTTTGGTTTAATATTTCTCAAACCGTAGTCTATGGGTCGGATGATTAAAATGGCTAAACCCAAACCACCCGACCCATGTACACCCATAGGGCCTGGTACAAAAGGCCTGCTTAGTTTAGTTTTATGTTTTAATTTTACAAGAGCTCATTTTATAATTATAAATATAAGAGTGGAATGTTGTTATTGAATCAAAACGCTTGTTCAGCAGCAATGGTGAAAAATGCCCATGGTAATGACCAGGATGCTGGTTCGACCCTCATACCATTTTAAAATTTTTTGTTTTCACCTACACCTATAGAACGACGCCGTTCTCCAGGCCACTTTCGATTCAGAGACGAGCACAAAACGATGGCGTTTTTTCATGTATCGTCGTCTCCCCCCCCCCCCCCCCCCCCCCCCCCCCCCCCCCCCGAATTCCCAATTATCCAGTTGCCGCCGTCACCACTCACCACCGTAATCTGACGGTCGTCTCTCTTCATAGTCCAAACTTTCTCACTCCGTTACGATTCTGGACTCCGACCAAGAGAATTCCCTTGACGAGACCCAATCCCCTCTCTTCATTTCAGCCTTAGTCATTATTTACACGACGTAAAGGTCATAGTCGTTCACCGTCAATTGCTTCGGATTCGTCGCAAAAGGGTAGCTGTCATCTGCGACCTTAAAAACAAATGATGAGCCAAAGTCGATGAAGGTCGGAAGCAGGGATGATGATGATGATGGTAAAATTAGGGATTTGCAATTGAGTTTTTCGTTTTCACCTCTCGAATTGGGAGAGAAAAGAAATCTTCTTTTCGGGCAAAAGGATTTTGTTGTTCCAAATGAGCTCAACTCACGAAATTGCATCCTTGAAATGCTCTGTGGACTCCTTCGCTAGTCAATTTGGCTTTGGAAGTTTTCATAAATTGCGCGAGATCTCCATCTGCTATCTTTTCTTGTCTTAATTTCATAGCAAGGAGTATGGTTTACTTTATGTGATCAGGTTTGTCAGCAGAGGAGATTTTGTTATGCCAATGTGGATTTTGATGATCGAGTTTTGGAAGTCCTGCCAAGGAAATCTGAGGGTGTCCTTGCCTTCCTGTGTGGAGAACCTCATTGTGTGCTGGGAATCGAGAAGCAGGGATAAGTAGGGAGAAGAGAAACCAAAATATGCAAACAGCTTGTCATCTCGGTCCGATTTTTCATTTCTCCAATCGGTATGCTTCAGCTTCACAATGAGGTTTTGGCTCCTTATATTGTTAGAGTTGAATTATTTTTTGGCTCTGTATAGTGGGTTGAAATGTGGAGATTTTGGAGTGGTTGGTTTGCAGAAGGGTTGTTGTAAAGCAAAAATGGGTGGATAAAGGTTGGCATCTTGAAATGTAGCAATCTGCGGTTTACTGGAAGCACCCAACTCTACAAATTCCCATCACAAACCAGATTTGATGCAGTATCCGAAGCAAATGATGGGCTTCTTCTCTCTGTCTCTATGGTGGAAGAAGGTGAAAACACAAAGCACGCCCCAACTAAGGAAGAAGTACTGCCTCCATTCTACAAATGGTCCCCACCTGGATATCTTTGGAGAGGATTATCAGTTTTTGTCTTGGCAGGCCAGGTGATCTCAAGGAGTGTGAAGGGGAAAGTTCACTGGAGGAATACCTAGCAATAACTGGAAAGAGTTGGACCAAAGTCAGTAGGGGTCTGTCTCTTGACTGCTGCTTTTGTTGGCATGGCTTTCACCATTCAATTCGTTCGAGAGTTCACAAGATTGGGCTTAAATAGAGCTGTCGGCGGTGTCTTGGCTCTAGCATTCCCGGGAGCTAAGCCCTGTGGTCACGTCAATCGTGGTTGCTGGATGAATGGGTAGTGCATTTGCTGCAGAGTTGGAGACGATACAGGTTTCTGAGAAAACCGACACTCTGAGGGTGCTTGGAGTGAACCCAGTTGATTATTTAGTAACCCCTCGAGTAATTGCTTCGTGTATTACTACCATTTCTGACTCTGATGTGTTTCACCGTGGGGATGGCATCCAGTGCCTTGTTAGCTGATGTTGTTTATGGGGTCAGCATTAACATTATAATGGATTCAGCTCATAGAGCACTTAGATCGTGGGACTTAATAAGTACAATGATCAAGTCCATGTGTTTTGGTGGTATCATTTCTACTGTGAGCTGTGCATGGGGAATAAACTACGATTGGAGGTGCCAAAGGTGTGGGAGAGTCGACAACTTCAGCTGTCGTCATCTCTCTCGTGGGTATCTTTGTTGCTGGTTTTCTGCTCTCTTCATGTTTCTTCCAAGGAGCTGGAGATTCTCTAAAGAGGTTATAGTTCTCTATCTATTCTTTGTGATTGTAGGGAAGAACTTACTGGTTTTTACCTTTTAGTGTACCCAAATAGTCAAAATGCTAGAAGCAGCCTCTTCCCAGTCTTCTGTATGGAAAGTTCTTAATTATTAGATGCACAATTAGCTTTGTCAATTCATAGTGAATGTTCATGGCTGGTTATTTAATCATCTTTTAAACTTGCCAGCTGTTTATCAAACTTTCAGAGAACAATTCGAGTCTCTCCAAGTAGCTTGCCATGTAAAGAAATATGCTCTGATGAGTTGGAGAAAAGAATTATAGAATCACATTGATTGCCACGAAGGTATGCGTATAATAAACAGATTGCATACCATAAAATGTGTTAATTCTCTTTACTAATATGGCACCACGCAACTTCCAAGAACCAAAGGACACTGAATTCATGCATTTATTGTGCCCCTTCCATATTCCCAAGTGCTTCTTATCATTCTTGTTTCTCGCCTTAAAACCATGATGTCTAGTGTTCAATTGCCAAATGAAAAGCTGAGATATATTCACAGAGCTCTTTACAAAATTATGGAAAAGAACCACAATATAGCGTGTGCGCAACTCTGGTTTGTTATCCTCATTGCCTTCTCCTTGGTCTTCTTCATTTCTCACGACACCATTGATTATAACTCTGCTTTCACTGTCGAAAGGAACGGCAAGCTGGCCGTTTTCTTCACCAGCTTGTTCGACACAAATCCTCCTCTACTCACCGAATCTCCCAGTGAGACCAATGGAAGTGATAGGGATGTCAGTGGAGACACTTGCTCTGGCCGTTATATCTATGTTCATGATCTTCCAAGTCGTTTCAACGATGATGTGATCGAGAACTGTAGTTATTCGCTGGTGAAATGGTTCGACATGTGCCCATCTCTGACAAACCTTGGACTTGGCACTCAAGTCAGGGACCCTGGTAAGGTTTTAGTGGAGAAGAGCTGGTATGCAACCAATCAGTTCACTCTTGCAGTCATTTTCCGTCACAGGATGAAGGGCTATGAGTGTTTAACCAATGATTCATCGTTAGCCTCGGCAATTTTTGTGCCGTTTTATGCTGGTTTCGATATTGGCAGGCACTTATGGGGTTATAATACTACTGCAAGGGATGCTCTGGGTGTTGAGCTGGTGAGCTGGCTCAAAAGCCAGCCTGAATGGACGAAGAGAGGTTTATGGGGAAGAGACCATTTCTTAATTTCAGGAAGAATTGCTTGGGACCTTCGAAGATCAGACGATGATGACTCACACTGGGGAGGCAAGCTGATGCAGCTTCCCGAATCAATGAACATGACAATGCTTTCAATCGAGACTACTTCGTGGAGCAATGAGTTTGCAATTCCATACCCCACTTACTTCCATCCTTCTGCAGCAAAACAAGTGCAGCAATGGCAGAAAAGAATGAAAAGACACAGAAGGCCATACCTTTTCTCTTTCGTTGGGGCGCCACGAGCCAACATGACAGAGTCCATCCGCGGAGAGCTCATAAATCAGTGCTTGGGTTCAAGAAAGAAATGCAAACTTCTTAATTGTCACTCTGGCAGCCAATGTGATAGTCCGGTTGAGGTGATGAGAGTTTTCCAGAACTCGGTATTCTGTCTGCAGCCTGCAGGCGATTCATATACTAGAAGGTCGACTTTCGATTCTATACTGGCAGGGTGTATCCCTGTGTTCTTCCATCCCTTTTCGGCTTATGGGCAGTACATATGGCACCTACCAAGGAACTACTCATCGTATTCTGTTTACATACCAGAAGAGATGGTAAGAGAAGCGAGAGTCAGCATCAGAAAGCGGCTGCTTCAAGTCCCAAAGGCAGAAATAGCGTCCATGAGACAGGAAGTAATAAATTTGATCCCAAAGGTGATTTATAGGGATCCGAGATCGAAATCGGAGGACTTCAAAGATGCATTCGATATAGCAGTGAAGGGAATGTTGGAAAGAGTTGGCAAGGTTAGGAGACAGATTGAGGAAGGGAAAGATCCAGGGATTGGATTTGCAGAACCAGGTAGCTGGAAGTTGAAAATGGATGGTATTGGGAGAGATCATGAGTGGGATTCATTCTTGTAATATTTTTGAATTTTAAGATAAGAGCTATCCATATTAGGGGAATATATTCATTCATTATCCTTAGCAAAGTACGAGTGCCAAAATGCGCCAAAAAAAGAGAGGAAGATTTGTGTCATTCCTCGGATCAACAATGAAAGAATAGTTACAGCAGCAGCTTTAGGCTTCTTCAAGTCAAGAGATCCGATCCTCAGCAGACAGCAGTGAAGAAGAATTCATATATCTAACGTTCCCAGCTTGGAACATACAAACTTCAATTGACGCCGACCCAACCTCTTTGCATATAATTTAGCCAGCGCTAGCTCATTTTCTGAGCTCAGGTGTGAGAAGGAAACCGACTTGACCTGCAAGTATTCTCGATTTCGATATGTTTTGTGAGCTCGTGGGTTATTGCATTTTCTAGTGTGTGTAGTGTTGATATAGTATATCATAGAGGCGACTGCTAAATTGGTTCTTTATGATTGATGTTCATCTCCTGTAACAATCTGAAACTTCATGTGACAGTTGTGCCAATGTATGGTACAAGGAGATATCATGAGTGGAATCCATTCTCATTATATATAAAAAAAAAAATAGAGTGGAATCCATTCTTCTGATATCTGAAAAACAAAGAACCGTTAAATGTTTCCGAAAGTAGAAAACAAAACCCATGTTTTGTCTTGTTGTAGGCATAAACTGATATCTGTAAAATCGTTTATTTCTGATAGGGGTAAGTGAAATACAGTAGAACACAACTACACGAGTAATCTTTAACGTAATAAGTTTCAACAACAGAAAGAGCACAAAGGCTGTGGTTGAATCGTAACTATAAGCAACTATAGGAAGCATATCATGGTGGCATATACAACCGAGCGACAAAAAGATGAGGATAGTATGAGCATGTGCAAAAACCCTCGAGAACCAGCCCTCCTTAGCCAGCTAAGCCTAACAACCAGTCACCACTAGCTTCACTCTGAAATGCCTGACAGATTGGAAGGGAGACACGAATGTCTCTGTGCACTATCAACCATAACACCTTACAAGGTAGAAGAGCTTCTGGACCTATGCACTTTATCTTCCTGAGGATTCAAAGATGGAGATGAAACGGCAGCATGATACCCAGAAGATGCAAGTTGTGCTAGTGCTGGAATCGCACCACCTGGGAGTTTTCCCCGAATAAAGATAACTCTTGTTAACATTCAGGCCAGATTTCTGGCAAGTTTTTTATGTTATGAATCACTATATCAAGACACTAGACCACAAATTTCCCGAAAAATATACATACTAGTGACCACTATGGATGCTGGAGCACCTAAATGAACTTTGAACAACCATAATTCCCATGTTTAGAGCAATGAATTGTAAACCGTCATGCAGACACTTAACTCATTACAGAATATTCATATATGGAGGAATGCAGAGAATTGACACCACTATGAGTAATAGAATTCAGAACTCAGTAAGAGATTGAATTTCTTTTTCTTTTCTTTATTTTCCATGGCCAAGGAGATACTGCTTGGAGCAAAGTGATACAAGTACAAAGACTTAAAGAAAGCTCGAAGTGTTACCAGTTCAATGTAAAGGTCACAGCTAGGGATCAGATGAAACATGGAAACACTAGTTAAATCTAAGCAACAATCTTTCTTGGTCAAGAAATCTACGCAAAATTTTAAGGGGAGCATTGCTGACCTGCAAATCCAGCACATGCCGAAGCGAATACGATCACTGGAGGTGCCTGCATATTAAAAGAAATGTACTTTTTCAAGTAGGAACTGCCAACAGGTGAAGAAGACTCTGAACAAATAAGCCTCAGTCCTAAGCATAACATGTCATCAGAACAACCACAACTAAACTACACCTAGTTAGACCAACTGCAGATCCAGAACAGTTTAGGAAGGAAAAAGTATAGATCCACTGCTCAAGGCTTCAACACAATGACCAGGGATTGGAGCCAAATTCAGCTTCACAACTAAGTACTTTGGAGAAATATGCCGCTCACACATATATAAATGTACCTTGCAACTGAAGGTATTCCAGAATTGCAGCAGAATCAAAGAGAATGAAAGAAGTGGTCTGAACTTACACCAACAAAGAAATGCACCCACATTGGCCCTTTTATGTACTTCTGAACTATCGGCATCACTACATCACAAATTTATAGAGTTAAACAGTTAGTGAGGATCCGACGATCCTTTGACCGACGAGAACGTAACAAATCTTCTTTTCATACCATGATTAAACCCATAGAATGCACCGGCTGTACCACCAACAGCAGTTCCAATCTAAACCAAAACAACAAAAGGATACTATTAGCCATAAAAATGTTAAAATCTTCATGAACGAATTATGAATAGAATACCAATTGGCATAACACACGAAAACCCCATTCTCACACAAGTGTTGCATTTATATCAATAAGCTAAACTTCCGTCAAGTGATAAACAGCCAATTCATGGGGAATATAAAAGGTGTATGCTCACGATCTAGAATTGGCGCGAATTCGGATAGTTCAGAGTCTCCAGAAACCGCAAGATACAAAGATCAGTACTCGCCACTCACCTCCATCATCCAGAGAGATAACAAAGCAGGGGAATCCTGGAAAAGCCAAACAGAAAAGGTGAACAAGCCGAAAATTTACCATGGAGAAACTGTCTCTGAGCAGTGGTCGATTCGTCCAACCGCTAGTTTCCTGCAAAAATTGGATCGTCTTCACCATGATCAAATGGGAAAAGAAAATGAAATAAGAAACGGAAGGAAGAGAAAGTTTCAGAACCAGGCCGGGAGACCACAAAGGAAGAATCGACTCACCGCTTCTTTGGTAAGAGGGCCGGCGCAGTGATGGCAGCGCAACCGTTTGAGAATCTCCGATCTCGAATCCGCCATTACGGACCGTCGTCTGGGTCTGGGCTTCCTCCGTAAACCTCTCAGTCTGTGAAACCCCCAAAACCCTTTTCCTAGTTAAGATGAGCTAAACGATGACGTACCACCTGATTAGTTTGGCGCGACACGTGGATAATGGGAATGCCTTTTCCTTTTTATTATTATTTATTTTTATTCCGGCGATTGCCTCCACATTCAGGCCCGCCGCCATCCATTTGCCTTTCTTCTTGCCGTACAAAGAACAATTTCAGATATAATTTGAACGTCTATACATCTCCCTCCCGCGTCCACCATTGATCCGAGAGCTCGAAGGTTTATTTGATCCTTAATCGGTGAAGAAATGGGGATTCTGTCGGATATGCGAAGCTACTGCGCACAGCAATCCATGGAAAGTCATCGTCATCGCAGTGAAGGCGATGCCGTCAACAAGATAAATTCTTTCGCGATTGCTTCTCCGGACGAGAAACGCAGCAGAGCTTTTGCCCGAGGTTTAAAGCTCGTTTCCACCTTCTCGTCCTCTTCCATCCGGTTTGAAGCTCGTTTTGCTCTTTATTTCTTCTCCCTAATTCTGATCTCTCGTGTCTCTCTCTGTTCCTCGTGGCGCAGAAAGCGTTGTTGCAGGATTTAAAGCAGCTGCAATCGCGGCCGTACTCAGCGCGGTGCCTGTGGTAAGTTTTGATGATGCCGTTGTGGATTTCACCCCAGAATAGTTGTAGCCTTGTAGGATTGAACACAAATTTGTCCTGTTGTTCCTTATATCCGACTCTTGAATGTATGAGTCGCTTGCTCTTGATGTTGAAGCTTTCAGTGATCTGCTGGATTTGGGTTTTGAATGGTGTCTAGGCCTCTTGGGTGAGCTGGTCGTGGGGATCAAGCAGTGTTAATTTTGAGACAGTTGAGTTCATTCTGCCGCCCTAGTTGTCAGTTGATGGCGTGAGAAATAAGAGATAGATAGATATGTGTACATGTTCATCATCATAGAGTCATAAAGGTTTTCGAATCTGAGGTGCCATGTAAAGTAGATACATGTTATCTGGTCCACCACACGAGAGTAGCAGAGATGGCAATTCTCTTTCATGCTTCTTCACCTTTCTTGCATATGTGCAGGTAGTAGCTTGTCGCAAGATTCCGTGGGCGAAGAGGAACCTAAATCACACGGCTCAAGCGCTCATCATATCCTCTGGTATGACTTGAACAAACATACACCATTACCTGGTTCCTTATTAGTCTGTAAATAGAAATGTTAGCTAGTGAATGCAAGTCATTGCTCTATCCGCACAAACCCACCTGCTTTAACTGAACTAAAGATATGGTGGAATCTCACTCTAGCTCCCAGATATCTTGTCACTAGGTAGTTACATGGAAAGAACTTCGAGTGTCTTTGATAATTGCACTTTGCGAGCCTAAGTTATACTTGAAACCACACACATCACCTGGTTTGAACAATGTCACAAAGACGATTACCCTAATGCACACCCACGGGGTAAACTGCACATAAACCAGTTCCTTATTTGGCTGTAACTACAAATGTTTGCTAGTGAATGCACATCTTTGCTCTATCCCGTCTTTTGGCACATATCCATGTCATTTGAGGTCTCGAGTCCCAGTCCCAGCCTCTATTGCATCTGCAGATTATGTATGGCTACAAGGAAACATTAGTTTCCAAAATCCCTGGCCTTAGGGTTGTACTTGACTTTTGGTGTTTTCTTTCATGTACTCACACAATAACTTGTGGTGGTTATAAATAATTTCTAACAGAGATGGGAAGAAGCAACACAATGGAAACAAGAAGTAGATGAGAATTAGTAACACTGTTTCTATTCCATACTCTCATACACATATTATACATTCCAAAGATAGAATAAATCTAGAGAAATGAGGAAGAAGTGAACTTATATGTGTTTTCAGCCATAAGTACGCCTTTTATAGTGTAGAGTAGGTAGTTGTTGGGGAGCATAACAACTCTCACCCAATCCAACCCATACTTCCATCATCAAAGCTGACTTGTATAATGGGCATCCTAAAATACATGTACATGTGTTTATAATAGTGATGTTATTTCATATTTGTTACCAGCATCCATTTCTGCCTTCTTCATTACTGCTGACAAGGCTACTTTGGAGAGCGCAAGAAACAACAGTTACTATGACAAAACAGCTTGAGAAGGTGAACTTACGGCTTTGCGGCAGATAGTCCTTTGTAGTTGTGAAGACAATATTTTTCCTTTCTTGTCTTGGAAGTTGAAGACTCTACAACTCATCCAATTTTTGCCATGTTTCTGTAAAATAATAAAACCCGGAATTTTTTTTCTCTGTAATTTGGCATTTCAATGGCTTGATTGTAGCAATTGATGTTACTTCCACACGTTCAGTGTAGCTTGTACCTATTTTGCGAAAATTACGAAACATAATTAAAAAAGTTCATTCATTTTTAATTAAATGAATGAGTAACGAATCTATGGAGAAATAGAAAAATACATTTTGAGTCGTTTCTAAATCTTCCATGTTTTTGTTTTGTATAGTTAAGATTGAAGCAAAATAAGTATTAAACGATGACTTTGGTTTACTATAGAAATTGGCTTTGGTTCTAGCCCGGTAGAAATAAAATGTTTTTCTAAAGATTCTCGTCTAGAAATAGGAAAACGAAGTAACTAGAAAGATTCTATTAAAAAAATTCTCCTCTCTCTTCGAGAACCGTATATGAGAATTTCCTCTCATATCGCTCAATCAGAAAGACCCAAATATTAGTTGAAACGACATATGTGGAATAGAAACTTCTTTCAAGATGTCGACAAGTAAAGAAAATTTCGAAAACTTTTCTTTGCAGTTATAATGCCCAAATATCAAGTTGCCTCATTAATTTTATGATGTTGATCATTATAAGACTCTTGAATCTTCTAGTTATCCATTTTTTGCTTGTTTTTTTTTAACATAGACATCTATAAAGGTAGTAGTCACGAGTCATACAAAGTACAAAAGTAAACCAGGTAGTATGACTATTGTCGAACTACCTATGAGAGGACCGTTAGTGCCACAAAAGGGCAGCCCTATAAGCAGCTAAACCTGCAAAATGGACAAACACATAGACTACAAAAGAGTCAAAATTTCACAAACAAAAGGGCCGTTGCTTGCTTTTCTATTTGTATGAAAAGTGTAAGTTGCCTTACCCTCGTTTTCGTTATTATGATAGAATTTTTTTGGTTAGGATCCTATAAATTAACTAAACTCGCATATTCATACTAGAACTACGATGATCGACATGTTGGTCGGATTTGATTATTTGATTAAGCATTAATTTAATTCACTGATTCCTTTTCAAGTTATTGTTATTTTTAATAGGAAACCTTAATAGTATGGTGTGATAAGATTTTAATTTGTATTAGTGTTTGAAGCATTATTATAGTGAGACAAAGTTGGAGTACGAAGTCATGTAAATTGAAACTAGGGCTGGGAAACAGTGCGGTCTGGTTCAGATCAGACCATATATACGGTCTATGGTCTAGACCGAGACACAGAAGTATAGACCACAGACCAGACCACAGACTATACGGTCCGTCCAGACCACGCATGTGCGGTCAGGTTCGGTCTGGTCTGGTCCAGATAAACTACACTCAACGAAAAATGAATAATTTGTTTAGTCAACCACACAAAAAATTGAACCAATAACCAAGAAAAATAATTGTTATTTGCCTTAATACATTAATCCTAACATGCATGAATAATTTTGATACCTAAATCTTAGTACATAACAAAGATACAAAGTAAAAGCATCCCAACTTGCACCATAATGTCATAAACATTAACATAATGTCATATGGAGACACGATTATCTCTACATTTGGTTAAATGTGGTTGTGAATGAAGGAGGGAAGAGATTCACAAACTAAGATTGAGACTTGGGTGTCGTTGTGGGAGTTGGGAGAGTGCTCGAATGGGCTGTTAACACGTATTGACAAGTCGGTTGGATCCACGATTTGGTCCAGTAGACTGCGGTTTAGATCAGACCAGACCAAGAGATCAAAACATAAAAAAATACAAACCATGGACTAGACCAGACCATACTTAACGGTCTACAGTTCGGAACAATCTGTACAGTACGGTTTGGACCAAAGTTTTTCTAACGGGCTGATCTATTTTCCCAGTCTAATTGAAACCTAAATCCTTTAAAAGCAACCAATATAGGTAAAATAACTCTCTAAAAGTCCGAATTGAAATATGCCGTCCCTTATAGAGCAAGCAAATGCCAAATTTATGATCATTGAGAAATATAATAGTGTTACGTGTTTTCCCGCTCTCATCGATGGGCGCCGCTCTATTCCCGTTAAAAGTGCAAAGAAGAAGGAAATGATTGTCCGGCTGTGCTGCCGACGTCTTTCCAATTGCGTTTATCATGTAAATGTCCACTTCGTTCAACTCCATCGACGTTAACCTCTTCTTCAATATGCATCCTGATTAAATACAGTCTATACATACCTATTTTAGCTAATGGTAATCTCATTTTATCAAATCAAAAGTTAAGTAAAGAAAAAGAAGAAAAAAACATAAAGAGCCAAACGAACAGAGTATACAGGGGCGCTAGAGAGTGCAGGGTGCCCCTGTTTTGAACTAAATCCATATAATAATTCAATTAATTCTAGCTCCCATATAATATGCATTACTATCATGTGAAGAGGAATCATGAATAATTATAATATTTTATGTGATGCCTAGTTTCCTAGCATTATTACGGAAAGATGAATCATGCATAATTAGAGTTAGATATATAGAGCATTCATCGTATTGAATACTATCCGTGCTGCAACCTGCATGTTTTATGCATATTTATCATCATAGAAACTGAGGATGGAAGAAGTTTACCTGTTGGGATGATTTGAAGAAGAATATCACGTTGCGATTATATTCCTCTGAGGCGGCCGATGGTTTGCGCCTTTGCGGTGCTGTGGCCTGTGAGTAATTAATTTTCTCTCTCTCTCTCTCTAATTAGGTAGCAGAGACTTAGTGGGAACATGGAGAAAGCATTTACGAGGAAAGAGGGGGGTTTACCTTTTTTCCTAAAAAGTATTAACTACCTATTTTAATTGTGCGCCATTTGTAGTTAGTTTTACAAGTGTCGTTTTTTTAATGGTGGGGGAGCACCACATGGGCTGGCTGATGTGGTGAGCCGGGACCATTGAAGAATTCCTTCGCCGACGTCGTATCAACTACAAAGGCTAAAGGTATGCTGTTATTTAATACTAGTCAATACCATATGGTACAGGTTGGTAATAACTAGCAAAAAATTTTTTTCCAAAAAATATCAAAGTGGATATCACTTTGAAGAGCACAATTAATCTGATCAAACTGTGCAAAAAAAAAAAATTTAAATTCCAAGTTAAAACGATTGAGAAATCGTCTGTTAAAAATTAAGGGAAGGAAAATTAAAGATTTTTCGAGCATAGAGAAGAAGGCGCTGATGTGGCAGATTCTTTTGGGTTATGCATGGGGTTATAGCACCACAGGGTTACTCACCGGATCTGCTCCCAGATACCGTGCATAATTATTGGTAACTAAATCTGAACCCTTTATTCAGTAAATCCAGATTAATGGTGGAGAATTAAAAACATATTTATGTTTCCCTTGTTTTATTAAACGACTCATATCTTCTTCGTTTTAATTCGAATTTCAATTTTTGCAACAGATAGAATGAGTACGTTGCGCTCTACAAAATGAGATGCATTTTCAATATTTTTTAGAAATTTTTTTTCGTGCCTCTCAGTACCAACTGCATACCATGTGATATCTTCTTCGTTTTAATTCGTTTTTGAAATTTTTTGCACTGAAGAAAAGAGTTCATCATGAGCTATTGGATCTACAAATTTCTGGGTGAACAAAATACAGGACCAAAAAATACCACACAATACCACCCTGGTACGGGGTGGTATCTTGTGGTACACAATGTTAAAAGTCGAAAATAACAGTTAATATACTTCTACTATCATGTATTCAATCATCCTACAGTCTTGGTTTGTTCATACCACCATGGTATGCTTTTCATACCATATGTATGCTCTTATTTAAATACCATATGGTATAGGTGTTGAGGTCATCATCGCAATCGCCGCACAAAACCAGCCTGGTGATTGATTTGGTCCATTTGCAAAAATGGTAAGTGTATTTGAAGCGGAGGTAAAGAAGGCAAGTCCAAACATTCGATTCAAACGGCTACAAAGGGAGCAGTGTATTTAAAGGCTTCGGAATGGAGTTTGGAGGCAGACTTTTAGCGAGCAAGGGTTGGGCGATACAATTGAGAGAAGAATTGTAAAGCTCTTAGCGAGTAAAAGTCAGCACAGAGCTGTGATAGGAGGTTCTGGGTAAGGATTGGGGTTTCGGGGAAACCAGTAATCGATCGGCTGGGTAGCTGATAGGAAAGAACTGTCGATCAAGCGGGGAGCTGATCGATTGGGTTGAATCTTCTTTGTAATTGCCGAGCTTCATCGAAAATATCCTAGTGAAACGTCTGAGATCACAAGAAGTGATTCTCAGACCGTGGAATAGTCGACGTTGGGATCGTTAATCTCCTGACGTCGGAAACCACGTAAAAATTGGTGTGTCTTGAGGTGTGCTCTTCACTCTGATCCTATCGTGTTCTTGGTTCTGGATTTCTGGGTTTGAAGTCAAACAGCAGGGCAGGGTGTTGAATCGAAAACAAAAAGAAAGGAAGGGTGAGACGTGTTATCAAAACGGTGAGCTTCAGGTAAGTGAAATCAAGTTTTTGGTTTAAGCTAATTACAAGAACTTAGGTGTGCAGGTGAAAGAGTAAGTTAAGTAGAAGCAATAGTGGGCTTTGAGCCCAATTCCTCTTATACGCAAGTCTACCTAGCTAAAACGCAAACCATAGAGTGATTCTCGTGTACATCGATTGAACTCCATTTCTGGCCGAGCTTTGTCCTCTGTTCGTGACGTTTGAGAGAACGAGAGGTTTCCTCACCCTGAATCAGCAAAACAGAAGAAAAGTGCCCATTGGTCTCGCGCTCGACGCCTTCTACACGTGGTATCAGAGCCCGGCTCTGTTGAAAGGATCTTGCGATCTCCGGAGAAATCAAAATGGCGTCGGGATCGGGAAGTGGAGCAGTTCTGTATCTTGCCGATGGATTCTCTCAGAATCGACCACCGCGATTTGAAGG